TTGGGTTTTCGTCGCTTGGCAACGACGTTGTAAAACAAGCCAAGTCACATCTCGAACTCGGCAACCAGGTTACCGTTTCTTTTTTTTAACCTCGCTTTTTTGGGGGGCGGTAACCATAATGGTGGTCGAGTAGATCATGTTGTGCGGGGTGGAGAACCCTCACTCCGCGCAAGGGGGATGATCGCACCACGTTGTGTTAAAATGGTCAAGCACCCTCGAGGCAGTTACACAGTGCTTACAACTGTCTCTGGAAGTGAAAGCACCAGAAAATAAATTAATTCATACGCAGCTGTCATCCGTACGCAAGGAAGTAAGCACAAGATGCCGAACACCCTTAGCAGGATGCAGCGCACCCTTCATGCGACTCGCCGAATATCTCACGGCGCTTCGCGCTTGGTGATGTGAGAGCCTGGTCCGGTGAGAACCCGGCGTGCTCCGTCCCGGCTTTGTAGGGACGCGATGTCAATGATCTAACGACTACGGCATGCACGACTATGAGTCCACCCGCCCCCCGCCCCCTCCCTTACTCTCACTCGGTTAGTTGAAAGCTAAGGACCACGAGATCGCCTCCTTGAAAGCCTTGAAAGGTGAGCGTTTCGTGGTCTCGGCAACAACACCACCAGGTGAATAACGTGGAAAAAATGGAAAACATAGTACAGAATGCGGGCAAGGAAGAGTTATCATCACCACCAGATATTTATTCGCAATACGTTTTCCGTGCACAGAGAATATTGGAATGCATGTTGGCAAGAAACGGAACCAAGTTGATGAAACCCCCTCAGCTATATGCTGGCAGGCGGACTCTATGAACGCCGCCCCGTCCATCAACAGGACGAGCTCTCCTTCAGAGACACATGTTTAGAACTGCCGTCGACCCATTCCGTGATGCGCGTAGTTCATTTTGCACGTACCGCCATCTATCGTTCGATACCGTATCCATGTAATGACCCCTTCGTATCGTCTACCCTATGGCACCAAAGAAAATGTCAGACAAGAGGACTGGCAGCAAGATCCCCCAGAGCAAGGCCCTGGCCCCTCCGAAAGAACGAACACTGGAAAATGGGGTCCGAGAAAGTTGATCACCTACGGTAAAATGGTTGTGACGGCCGGTAGGCTAGCATCAGAACCTCGGCAGAGACCCGAAAAGGCCGTAGCGCAACCATCGGAACAAGAGACGCTGGAGAAGGAGAGGGCGGTAGCTGCAATGGGAGCCAAACACACCGAACAACAACTCCTGCGTGCTAGCCGGTAGGCTTATGCAAACCTCGAATGATTCCTACCCCGAGTAGGTTTGTGTTTTCTCGCAGAGATCAGCCCATACGGGGGTACCGATTTGAAGTACCTTGAGGTTTTCTGCAGCTGGTAGTGTCCTTTGCCGGAACTGGTCCCAACCAGCCGTTTGGCATGACACTAAATGGTTCGGTCCTCAACATGAAGCTAGAGCATATATGCGTGGGTTTTCCTGACAGTAGTCGGGCTGTATCCGGTTCTGTTTGAACGAATGCGTGCTTATGACAGAGATGTTCGAGGGCAGCTGGAGCGCGCCCTTCAAGAGGCCGAAGCTCTTCGAGCCGACAACATTGCATTCAAAACCAGAGTCAACCTTGCAGAGAAGGAAAAGGCTCATCTAGAGACTCGGTAAGCACTTCTGGCTGCCGCGTGTGTTGCAGGGACGTGTTTCTTGCTATATCCTGAGGAACTAGATTTGCTACTTAGATAAGTTGGGCTATCCGACGGTTGGGCATCCCCTCGCTTCTATGTAGGTTTGTATTTCTCCGCGCATGAGCGTTTGGGTGTCTTATCTACACAATAATATTGTGGACTCAATCGAGTGTTCGATAGCGGCGATCGTTGAGCGCTTCGAGTTTGGTTATTATCTACTTCGCTACGATCACACAGGTAAACTCTCTCCGTCTCTATTACTCTCTCAGTTACCAGTGGAGTGTGGCGCAATGTCCTCGAACTCGCAAGCAAGAGTATTCCGCGAATGCCTCAATAACGCCAGTAGAAGTGACGTCGTGCGATCCCAGAAACCAGCGTAGACGGCCGGCATCCTTGCGTACCTTGGAGTTCTCCGATGTCTTGCTTGCTCGTCGGTGGGTGGATCCGTCTGGCCAGCGTGGCTCTCCTGTCGGACGAAGTGAAACTCCAGATTGCACCACTCAAGGCGCTGCAGCTAGAGCTAACGCAGACGAGATCCGACACGGAGACGATGCGGCAAAGGCTCAAAGAGGAACGTAGAGAGAGCAGGCTCAGGTAAGCATACCCTCTCACTCTGTGTCTCCCTCCGGTCAAACGTATGAGGGTGAACAGCCTCTGTTGAGACGATGTAGGGCAGGGCTGGCAATCTTTCCTTCCAGTGTGACGTTTCGCCACCAATCCTTGCAGGACGCCGCCGGCGCATGCATGTCCACGAGGGGGGTGGAGCTGCCTGCATTGCAGGCCATACGCTGCGGCAGAAGATGTGTGCGTTGCTAGACTATTGTTTCGCTTTTGAGCCAAACTTGATCGGACAAATTTGGGACTCGTTGCAGGGTCAGCGACAGCGACAAGGCTAAGAGCGAGGCCCAACAGCGGATAGAGCTGCTTGAGTTCGACCTTAATGAGACCGTAAAGGCGTGCCAGGTGAGCTTACATTTGTGCTTTGATACATAGTACCGTGCTAATGGTAAACAAGACTCAGTCGACTACCGGCCAGAATATGTATGGCCCCGACGCGAATGTCATAGTACTGCCGAGAAGGAGATCAAGTGGACAGAGAAGTGACATTGGTAGGGCGGAATACGTTGCAGGACACGTCGGTCGTCTAGTATTGAAGCCCCCGTTTTGCAACCACGAAGGTTTCCAATACCTACAACGTACCTCCCTCCGCACGATACGGCGCTGGACGATGCTTCCAGCGGGAAAGCTTGAAGGCGTCGACGTTCGAGGGGATGTACCAAGAAGCTTCCACGATGGCCACGCTTCTCCAAGCAGAAGTAGAGCAGTGCAGAACAGACGCCAAAATAATAGCGCAGGAGGTGAGTACGTGTTATGGGTGATAGTGTTCTCACCACGTGAGTAGTACAGATGGTGGAACCTGTGTACTGTAAATAGTATACTAGCTCTCGAGTCGTCTCATTGTGCAAGGTTGGCATGAGGTTTGTGAACGATAAACGGATAGAAAAAGTTTCCTCAATTTCTCCTTGGCCGTTCGTGGGGGTTCTGCTAGGGTAGGTAGCCTCTGACACTACGGAAGGCGTCCGCGTCGGTTGGATCGGAACGGATGTTAGAAGGTACTGAGCTAAGACCGGAACAGTCACCACATCTTTTTGTTTCGACAACAACCGCTCGCAAGGCAAGGCTACGACTTTTAGTGTAGCAGAGCGGTGGCATTGCAACAGAAGCGACGGCTGAAAATTCCATGCATTTACGTAGTAGACTATAGGCACGTTTGGAATCTGGCGGGCATCTTGTGAGACGAAGATGTCGGAACGTGGACGGGTCATCACCGAGGATCGCCGATAACGCCTTCGACATCTAATTTATACTCTTGCAATATATTCAACATTTCGTTCACACCGTGCATTCCCTCTGGTGAATTTCCGTTCACCCCGTTCACCCCTGTTGACCAGCTTACGCGGATGCAGATCGAAAGCGAAAAAAGCAGCGCCTTGGTGGGCTTGACACCTTCCGTGGCTTTGTCCTCATCCGTTGATGTTGGAAGGGCTGTGGGTGGGGTTGAGGGTGAAGAAGTGACGAAAGAGAAGTTGAGGGAGGAGCAGGAGGCTGAAATCGCATCCCTGAAGAAGACCATAGCGCAGCTGGAATCGGAGAAATCAGAATCTGGCGACGCAATGAAGAGTTTGTTAGAAGCGCATCGTCGTGAGGGCGAGGAGCGAGAGCGAGCGTTCAAGGAGATGCAGAAAAAGTGCGTGACTTCTGGTTTGTGTTGTGTCGTCAATGTTTGCCCATAGACAACAGCAGATTGCCAGCCTTCGTTTCTGGGAACAAACCGATTAATGGAAGATAGAAGGCTTGGTTCACGTTTTCATGGCATCGAGGTGCGCCGTTGGTATATGTCGCGGCGGTAGGAAGGAGTGGTGGCGATACGAAAGGGCGGCGCATTAATTGCTTCAGGACATTAGACTACAAGACACATGAGAAGTTTCGTGAGAAACACGAAAGAACTCCTGGCATGTCTTTACCGTCGTCCGAAGACAGGCGAATGAATGAAACGAGTGTGTTGGGCAAGCGTCTGATCCAACCTAACTAAGCTGAATGTAGCTGCCCGCACATCCAACACCGGGCACGCGCCGTGTGAACCTAGTACAGCAGCAGTAGGCTCCTTCGACTACACCAGGTGCTCGAATTCTAACCTCCAGCCATTGCTTGTCTTTTTCGCAATCTCACTCCATCCGACGCCCGGCTCGAAGAGCTGACTTCTTCGCTGAGGAGAACAGTGGCCTACGTGCAAAAATCGAGAAGCAAGAGGCAGACAGCAAGAGGCAGCGAGTGGAAGAGGACGAGCGTCGCGACCGCGACATCAAACGGGAGATTATTTTGTCCCAGCAGCACCTGGACTCGGCATCGCTGAGAGATAGGCTGTGCCGCACCTTGGACGCACTGTGCGGGGCGGAGGAGGCCGGGGAGCTGGTGCTGACTTGCCAGAGGTGCGCCAAGCTCTTCAAGGATCCTCACACCATGGCACCTTGCGGGCACACCTTGTGCGCGGGTTGTTGTGCGGGCGGCGATGGAGGCATGTCAGCTGAGGACGGTAGCGGAAGGATGCCTGGGGGTAGCGGCGAGAGCCCAGGCTCGGTCACGCATGCGGAGCCGGAGTGTTATCTGTGTGGGCAGCAGGATCGCGGGGCTGTGGACAGAGTGGCTTGCGTCGGGATCGCGCCGAACCGTGCGCTGGCGAGTGTGGTGGTCAAGTTTGCCTTCCGTCGCCAGCTTGTGCAAGCCTTGAAGGAAATAGGCGCTGCGTTATCGGGATAAGGCTCCGTGATCCTCGAAAGCGGTGATCGCGTGTGATGGCCCATTTTTTGTGGACTCAGCCGTGTTGTAGTTGTCGGGAGGGCATTGTGGCTTGAACACGCTTGGTGCTACTGGACTGCCTTCCGAGAAGAACTCGCTCTTTCGCTCACGTCCAAATACAACCGAAAAACACCCCCTATCCCCCGTGTCGCGTTTGCGGGACGCCCAGGGATTAATATCGCATCGCTCTACCCATATGCCTACCCGTGCACTAATCAAGGGTCTGGGCGAAGGTCGCAAGTGCCGGCATCCCCTCTTTCTGCCCCCTTCTCGACCGAGGTTTCCGTGCACGAATCTGACGTCGTTGCTGGTGGCTGATTGGATGGTTTCGCTTCTTGTCGACGGGCAGCCCTTTGCTCCCTCAGCTCCTTGTCCCACGACTGTACCTGCTTGCCAAGAGGAATCGCATACCAGCACGAAGCATACGTACCATAAAGTCGATGAGCAGGCAACTCTCACACACCAAGGAACAACAGAGCTCGAACGTCTGTGCGTGCAGATGGCTAGCCTTCCGTGTAGAACCATGCACTGAGCAACGACAAGGTTGAGGAGGTTCGGAAAAGCCAAGCAGGTGAATCGAACGCCACGCTTCGGTCTCATCGAACCGAGTCGAGCATCCTCATGACAAACACTCACATGCAGCACCTCTGCCAAATGCGACCACTTGCTGGATTAAGGACGCCTTCGTTGAACGACTCAAGTATTACGCGTATCGTGTGCAACTATGCCCCTGCTGGAAAACGTGCTCGTCTGAAGCATCACGCCGACAAACAACGCAGCGACCAAGTGTCTCGGAGAGAAGCGGTGAGGAGAGGATTCGCGTGTGTGTTCACCTGGGGGGTGGTGAAGCACCCTTCGGTGCTCTCGAAAAACTCGCCCAGGTCGAGTCCTTGACCTGCACCATTGGCGACGATGCAGCAGTAGAGAGGCATGACGTTCGTCTTGTTGTTGGAAGACTGCCGAGATAGGGACGGCGCGTGTGTGAGCAATAATAGGACCATGCCATTTTTCGTCAAGGATGGTATGACAGAATCTTCGTCTTTTCGTACACTCACTCCGGTGTATAGTTCGAGGGGTGCGCAGAACTAGACTGTAAGTAGCACAACCGTGCTTGCAAATATTCGAGTGAAATACGGAAGGCCTGCCCACAATACTTTACCCTAATGTTGAAGCAATTGCATTTTGTGTGTCAACACCCTCCGCGACAACAAAACATGTGTCCTTACGGAGAGAAGCACCCTCCTCTCCTCGCCAACACCGCGACGGTAGTGCCAGGAAGTTCCACGCCGTTGCATCCGCATGCTTAGGCGGTACCGACAGCAACTAAAATGTTTAAAGGCGCGAAAGCCACAGGCGCCAGTATATACTGGTAGTCTCAGGGATTCTCTACAGGTCGATGCGACTTCAGCGGCTTCCCACAAGACTTTGAGGGTTCCTTCAAAGCCACGGGCGTGCAACTACAAACGGCGTGTAGGGGGCAGAGGTACCGTACCGTCGAACGTCACCGAAGGCGATCACGGTAAAACAACATACATAATTTTAAGACTGCTGACCTCAACGAGGACCGAGGAGTCTGAGTCGAACCGAGGCGACACAAAAAAGAATACAAGGCAAATTTTGGTCGCTGCTTATCGAGCGGCGAGAACGGCAACACGGCGACTCACCTTTCTCGTAGTCGTCTGCCTGGACAATCATCTCTAGCTTGTCCAAGTCCTTGACCACCCTCGCCTCCTCGGACGTGCAGTCTTCGTACTCATACCACAGCTTTTTTATCTCTAGAGCTGTGGGCACGAGAAAGCAACAGACGACACCAAACATCAAAAGTCAGCGGAGGTTGCCCCCGACGTGGCCTTAGGCTTCGCTCAGCAGCAGTAGCACGTGATGACCCGGGTCGGTGTTGCCCTTCATATCCTGAAATACAAGCTCCTCAGTACAATGCGAAAAAAGACATGCCCGTTTCCACCGATCTAGCTTAATACCCCCAAAGAAGCCTCACCCTACGGTTAGCCACATGTTCCACACTTGGCTCTCGACAGTCGGCACAACATCATACACACTGTTCTAGATCACGCGACACGCCATAAGCCCTTAACCAGCCGCACACCGATGGGATCGCTGCCAATGGTTGCGCATATCTTGTCTAGCCCTTCCTCCTCCAGGCGACGCTTGTCCTCCTTTGAGACGTTCTGGAAGGGCGCGATGTCTCCCGCCAGGGCTTCGGCAAGATCGTGTACCATCGCCAGTTTCATAACGCGCGATCTATTGGTTGAAGTTACCCCACGAAAAACAAGACGGAGAAGGACGATGATGAGACAGACGACCATCTGCTGGTCTCGAGAACAATGATGCAGAGCCGGACGCCCGGGTTCATACGGGCACTCCCTGTTAAGATGCTGGCAACGCCAAGTAGAACCGGTTCTGGCGACCTCTCTAGCCTTCTTGTGCATACGTGTATCAACGTGGCAAACGTGTCGCGCTCGCCCCTAGGCCAACCAATTTATGCAGAGGATGGCGCCGCTGTAGATACCTCGCTACCGAGAGTACTACCATGGTCTGCAAGAATGACGGCTGAATGCTAGAAGAGACGAAGTACCGACTGCTGTGCAGAATACAAAACTGCTGTGTTGGGTACCAAGGGACCAGACACGAAGCAGGACTTACTGATCTAATGTCGGGTCCGTAATGAGGAAGGAGCACATTGCCATGCGATACATGTGATCGGACACCGACCTGATTTGCGGTCGAATGGTTTACGGGCGGCGGAAGAGATCGGTTGAAGCAGTGGATGACATGGTCGCTACATCTTTCTCCAGTAGCAATATTCCCCAGCGTGCAAATGTTCCTCAACTTTATTCATGCTAAAGAGTCGTGGATGCGTAGGCTGGTATGCTGGATGCATACGTACCAAACGAAGAGCTCAGCACACCTGTGAAGCCTACTGACCGACAACTATGCGTTTCAGTATTGGGGACCTGTTGCACTAGTAGGTATCGTGCACGAACTACGGTGGAGACGCCGTGATGACACTATGCGCCTTGCATACCTGCGCCGTATTTGCGCTACACCGCTCCCTATATTTGTGCATATCTGTGTAACGCACTTGCACTTTTCGCATTTGAAGCCGTTCGTACCCGTAGGTACGACGCATGGCTCTGCCAGCCGTATGGATTAAACGCCGCCACTACCGATGCAGCAGTGCATTACAACAGTCTATGTCGGGCTCACTCTGGTTTAGAGACTCCTCGATGAACCCAGCCGGTCCTCTTGAGCTCCTTCAGCTTGCCCACCACTCTCATGAACGACAACGCGCTGGCTGGAAGCACGTTCATGTTTGTGCCTTGGAACAAAAAACAGACAAAGGAAGCAAAGTGCTTGTGATCTTGCACAATTAACTTGTTAACGGCGGGGGCTGGCAAGCGATACGACGAACGCTTCATGTACTTGCACACGACGTCTTTTTGACGTGAGCAACCCACGCCATTTTGTTGAAATAAACAAAGAGGACAGCAATTGGACCGATTGTTTTGTTGCACACACACGCTGTTGGAAGCATAATGCATACGGTACACAAACGAAGACCGTAGTCCTTGCTATGCATNGGGGGGGGGGGGGGGGGGGGGGGGGGGGGGGGGGGGGGGGGGGGGGGGGGGGGGGGGGGGGGGGGGGGGGGGGGGGGGGGGGGGGGGGGGGGGGGGCGCGATGAGCGAAGGCGTGTGATGTAATATACCACCCCCCTTTCCGATACAATGGACCCCGCCGTATCTCAATAGCGCGAAAGGTGCTCATTTACGCCTACTTACCATCAAAGATCGAATATTAATATCCCATCACATAGATTCCCGGCGTTGCTGATGTGGGCGTGGCACCCTCCTTGCAATACATATGCACCATCCTGGGGACTGCATCGCAAGGAATTCAGCAGGCGTGAATTTCAATTTTTTCGACAAACATGTGTGCCTTCTCACCGTGTCCACCTGCAGACATGATAGGTCTGGCGGTGTTGAATGGGGTTCGACGATGATGAAAAGGCACCAAGCCTGTTGCTACCAAGCATAGGCGGAGGTGCATTTGATCTTCTTGCACTGCACACCACTTCATTTTCATGTTAGACCGCCGCCGAACCATCTCACATACCCTGGAAAATATCTCGATATCACGTACCCCCCCCCGCCCGTCCTATTGCTGCCGAGGGCCTGTGGCACAACGCACTTTTTATTGGTGGCGACGCATCCCTGCCCGTGCTATTGGTACGACCTCAGGTGAGTGTACTGGTTCCCTTGTACTCAAGGCGTGTGGCTGCCGTTTGTGAACCGTTTAGCTTCACCACTGGGGCCCGTTGGCCTCTACTTTTATCGCTTCTCGCTGTCGCTCTCCTCCATGCACACCAAGACGCCTCGAGGAGGCAGCACGCGCATAATATCGGGGCGGGGGTAGAGAGAATTCTAACATGAGCAAGTGCACAGCGTTACTGGCGGTGTCTGATTGAACAGGAAATCGAATAGTTATTCGAGCAGCAGACCCATGTTTATGTTTTCCACAGAGTCCATCGAGAAATTGCTTGACGGATACGTGCTGTTATCAGCGCCTTTGAAAACGACTTTTTCAAAATATGAGCGCCCGCTTCCAGGAGCAGTACTCTCGTTGTACTCCGGAGTACATAGTAGAGTAGTACATAGTAAATAGTACATATGCGTAGCGCGGGCCAAGTGTCTACACTTCCTTCCTCCTATCTGTCCTAAATCGGCAAAGCATGATGCACGCGTTGTTTCAATCAACGCGTCCATTGCATCTCACTCGAAGACTTGAGGTAACTCAGGGCCTCTGTTTCGCGAATTTGGACAGCAGTTTGATCCAGAAAACTATGACTTGCTTTTCCGGGCAGAACGACCCACATGTAGACTCCGCAAAGCACACTCGGCACAACTTCGTGTTGTTCATCACCCATCCTGTCCTGGATGGCGGCTGCAAATCTACGGATGGTCATCAATGTAATCTCACAACCACTGCATTGCTCTTGACCCGCTTGGTTCTCGGTAGCAGCAGGATGAGTGATGATGATCGTGGTCGACGCCGGGCGAGACGCAAGAAACGCAACAGCTTCATCGGCACGGTGATGGGAATTGTTGGTCTCGGAGGCGGGGGAAACGGGGGGGAGGAGGAGGAGGAGGAGCCTCACACCGCCGCAGCCGCAGCAGAAGCAGCACCACCACTTTCACCCACTCCCGATGCCGGTGCCAGGGCAGCCACACCCAGTCCGGACGGAACTCGGCATGATGCCAACAGCTCCCAAGGTACGCCAACAAGAGGCCATGCTGGTGGTGTTGGTGCTTCGACTGCCTCCCGTTCGCCCGTGCGGGGGCACGGCTCGAAGCAGACGCTGCAAGGAGCCGCTCGCTCGGCTTTGAGGGCGCTAGGCCAGCCTCCTGCTGGGGCTGCTCCTGCCGCCGCCTCCGGCAGCGCTGGAGGCAATAGGAAGGGGAAGGGGAAAGCCGGGTCCAGTGCGGACGACGAGGATGTGGAAGCCGAAGACGAGGAGGCCGATGTCCCTAACGCTAAGGGGAAAGGGAGAGGGAAGGGGCCGAGTCGAGGCCGCGCCGTGGTCAAGACCGAGAGCGCGGGAGGAAGGGTCTCCGCAGGCCTGGACGAATGGACCGAGGGCGAAGCCCTTGCTAGCCTCCGCTACGCCGGGAAGCCGCTCATGACCATGCGCGTGACCGATCTGAAGGATGCGCTCGTGGCGTTAGGCCTGGCCTACGCGGGGAACCAGCCCGAGCTGCGCATGCGTCTGGCAAAGCGTCTGTGCGCAGACCTCGCCGGAGGTAGCCCGGGGATGGCGAGCATGGAGGGCTTCGCGACAGGCGCCAGCTCTCCGGGCTCAGGGCTGGAGTCGACGGAGCAGTCGTCGGCGCGCGAAGCTCGGCGCATCAAGAGGAGAACGCTTAGGACCCTCGGAAAGAAGGGTGCAGGCGCAGACACGAAGGACTGCCCCATCGTGATCGCTTCGGATGAAGAGGCCAACGCTAGCGACGCAGCCGCCGAAGCGCCCTCCTCCTCCCCGGCTAGTGGTTCCCCTCCGGCGGCCGACGACGCCCCAACGACCGCCGCGCGGGCGTTGTCTGCTGGGCCCCCGCCTGAAGTGGAAGATGCCGAGGCACCCGTGCTGACCGAGGCCCTCGCCGTGGAGTTTCAAGCGGGACCCAAGTCTAGCATGACGGTGGCGGAGCTCCGGAGCTTGATGACGAGGTTTGGCCTGAAACCCAAGGGAAGGAAGAAGAACGACCTGATTGACTGCTGGGCACAAGCGGTCAAGGCGAGGCGCTCGATGAAGCAAGAAGCAGGGGAAGAGAAGATTGGGGCTGCTGTCGTGAAGGGAGGAAGACAAGGTAGGATAGACGTCGCTGAGGATGAAGACCCCGAAGCATCGGTGGATGGCGTTCGCGTGGCGGACATGAAGGTGAGGATTGATTGACGGGGCTGTTTTCGTTTTGTTTCGAGTCCAAGCGCCCAACTCAGTCCGGTAGTGGTTGGCAAAACTTGAGATTTCCCCCTAAGTGCGACTCTGACCTCCTTCTCTTACTGCAAGCACAGCGGCGGCGAGCATTGAACGAACGCGTGCATCGCTCTACCGCAAGGTTCACGTACCACACACATGGGGCTCACAGCCTTGGCCATCCAGTGTTATGTGTTGCTACATTCGCGTACCGAAAAGACTTCGACGTCCTCCCGACCAACATTCCCACTTTGGCATTTATCTTCGCAGATGCCTCACGTGTATACAGTAGCTTTTTTTCATATTTTCAGTGCCGAAGGGTTGCCTCCGTTGCCGCGAACTGCCTGTTCTACGTATGATATCTTATTTGTAGTACTTTCGAAGCTAAAATCGATCGAATATGGTGGAGAAAATGATGTGTCGTCCTTAATTGCTGATTAGAAATGCGTTCTCGAACCTCGACAAAAACTTTGGCAGGTGGCGACCCTCAGGCTCCACGTAGAGCGCATGGGCCTCAAGGCTACCGGACACCTCAAGGCCGACCTGCAGCGATGCCTCCGCGACGCTCTTCTCGACGGCCACTCCGGGGGAGGGGGGCACGCGCCCAGGAAGACTGGTAGGAGGGTAAGAGGCGGAGATGAGGCGGACGCGAAACCCCGACGCGGTCGTGGAGGGCGTCCTGTGGGGAGGGACCCCCCCGCAGCACCATCTGCGTCTCCCCTTCGGCGCAAGAGGGCCGGCCAAGTCGACCCTTCGCCCGCGCCTGCTTTCCATCCCGATCAGGTTTGGTTCCACCAGACGCGAGTGTCGGCCATGAACCTAGAAGAGATGCGCGAGAAGCTTCACGAGCTGGACATGCCGTCCCTCCGCTTGAAGGACGACGAGGTCACCCACGACCTGATCGACGCCCTGGTACAGCGCAAGGCGGAGGCGGCTGACAGCAACCCTCGCAAGCAGGCGTGGCTTGGCCGGCCCGTCTACATGATGAGGAAGGCGGAGCTCGCCGACATGCTGCGCCATTTCAACCTTGACGACGCGGGCAAGGTCGACGTCTTGCGTGGCCGATTCCGCGACGCGCTTCGGAAGTGGGCGGCGGAGGAGATAGCTCACCCTGCGTCGGGGGGCGGAAGTGCCGGGTGCAGCAGCGGTCGTGATGGTGGCGGTCGTGGAGCCGGGAGCGGCGGCGGGGTAGCAGACCCCGAGGAAGCGGAGGACGAGGGCCAGGATGCCTCGGACACTGACGAGGAAAGTGCCGACGAGGGGTTAGTGGCCGGCCGGCCTAGCCGGCGGGGAGGCCGAACGACGCGGCACACCCGCACCAGAGCGGAGGATGCCGTCGCCGGCGTGGCGAAGCAAGCAGCGCCGGTAAGGGCAAGGCGGAAGGGGGACACGGACACGACCGAGGAGGAGGAGGAGGAGGAGGAGGAGGAGGAGGAAGGCGGAGGGAGATCGGCGTCTGCATCGTCGCGACGTGGGCGAGGGGGCAAGAGGACCGGCACGGCTGCTGGTGAGGGAGAGGAGCGGCCACCGACAGACGCCCGCGGCGGCGGTACCAGGGCCGGCCGCCGCCGCGCAGGAGATGAAGAGGCCGCGTTGTCGCCTAAGAGAGCTGCGTCTGCGAAGGGAAAGGCTAAGGCTAAGACCACCGGTAAGAGGCGTTCTTGCAGTGCACCCCGAGTCGAGCTTCTTTGGAGAGATGTCGGTCTGTTCAAGGTGGCAGCTGCTGTTGCGGTAGTGTACCCGAGGTACGTGAGACATTTGAGAGTAGTACACGTACAAATGTTGAACATAGGTGTTGCTCACAAAACTGGCTTCCGAATTCCGATGTTGCGACACCAACACAAACCCCCAAAGAAGAAACGAAAGTATGTAGTACCCAAATTGACAAGGGGCCCCTTGACGCGAGTATCATGGTGCGGAGGCCCGGCTCGACGGCCGGTCAGGAGTTGAAAGACTCAGAAACGAGTGCATGAGCCTATCCTTAGGAACCGGTCCTCGCGGGTCCATACCGTGCTCGTTGTCACAGATGGCTGCCGTCTTGTACTGGCGGGTACTTGGCCAGCGGTTTGTCCGTTCATACTCCCACCTCTGTGCCGACTCCAATCGACACAGGATCGCTTGCTCATGCACCGTGTTTTCGTTTGTTAACAGGTTCCACGACTCAAAACTATGAAACGCTTGTGGTTGTGGCCCCGTGTTCTTTCATCTTTAGGCTTAACACAAGAATGTAGTTCCTGGGCACAACACGGCCGCGCTGGAGGCCATACTGAGGTCGATTCCGGTGGTGTTAGTGATTGTGGGGTGTATTCTGTATTCTGTATTCTGACAAGTAGCCACAAGGAGAGGAAGCGTCTAGGCAGCAGTAATTGCCACCCCCCGAGATTGCCGCGGACATGCCCATACGAATGATTGGTTGCTTCTCACTTTTCCCCACCCACGTCCATTTCTAACTCGGTGGTATTTTCGCCTCACGTATTGTTCTCTAATGCGGACGTCGGCTGTGGTCGTTGGTCAGGCTCGAAGGGTAAGGGTAAGGCTAGCGTGAAGAAGGAGAAGGCGCCCAGCGCGACGTCAGGGAGGACCAAGGCCCCTGCTACTGCTGCTGCTCCTGCTGCTGCTGCTGCTCCTGCTGCTGCGAAGGCAGCCCACGCGACGCGTACCTCTGCAGCTGTGGACGATGATGGTGGGTCGGGCGAGGACGCTCGAGAGGATGATGCCGAAGGTGACCCCGCCTCACCCGCCTCACCCATCTCACCCGTCACCGGCGGTGGCCGTCGTCGTGCCGGAAGAGGAAGAGCCCCAAGTCCTGCCTCCAAGAAGAACCCCGCTGCTGCTGCTGCTGCTGCTGCTGCTGCTGCTGCTGCTGCTGCTGCGCCTGTAGCCAAGGGGATGGGCAAAGGCGCTGATGGAGAGGCAAGCGGCGGCAAGAGGAAGGCAGTTTCGACTCGGTCTAAGGTTGCCGATGACGCCGACAACGCCTCCGAAGATGATGGAGATGATGGCAGTGCCGAGGACGAGGAGCGTCGCCGCAGGAGGATGACTCGGCGGCGTGGAGGCCGCGCCTCTAGCTCGCCGCCCCCGCGCTCCCCGACCAAGCGCAAGGCTGGCAAAGCGGCCCAACCGCAGGACGGTGAAGTACCGCCAAGTAGTCCGGGCTCGAAGCGCAGCAACACCCGTCGAACCGAGGAGGCGCCGAGCGACGAAGACGAACGCGGTGATGGGGACGGTGATGGTGGTGCGGGCAAGAGGCCTCGGAGGGCCGGAAGAGGACCCGGCCGTGGCGGCGGGAAGGCCGGCGGTAGCGGTGGCGGCGGCGGCGGCGGTGGGTCCGGCTCCGATGGCGAGGGTGCGAGCGACGACAATGATACGGAGCCAGAACCTGAGGAGGACGAGGAAACGGAGGAATCAGGAGGTGAAGGAGAGGAGCCAGAAGAGAAGGGGGACGAGGATAACCAGGCTGCTGCAGCACCAGCTGCCGCCGCCGCCGGTCGACCAGCACTTCCTGATTACCCCGTTGACCAGATCCCGGCGACAGAGGCCGAGACACAAGCCATGGAGATCGATGGTGCCGCTGTTGAAGATGCCGCTGCTGCTGCTCTGGCCGGGGCTACTCCGACGGCGGGCGGCGGACTCGACGATGACGAGGGAGGCGAGGGAGACAACGTTCTCCAGTACATGGACCAGGATGCCATGGATGTCATGGATCCCATGGACGGGGGTGGTTCAGAAGACGGTGACGGTGAGGCAGCCGAAGGGGAAGCGGCAGTGGCAGCAGAGCGGGACGGTGATGACGAAGACACCGTTGAGGAAAACGTTGAGGGAGCCGCTGAGGGAGCCGCTGAGGGAGCCGCTGAGGGAGCCGCTGAGGGAGCCGTTGAGGAGGGCGTTGAGGAAGCCGTTGAAAAACCCATGGGCGAGGGTGATACGGAAGGAGAGGCGGACGGAGGACGTCAGGAGGAGGGGCCAGCAGCGAGTGAGGATGCTGAGGGTGCTGAGGATGAGGATGCTAAGGATGAGGATGAGGATGAGGAAATGGGGGAGGCACATAAGGAGGAGGAAGATGTTGAAGGGCAAGGAGAAGGTGTCGGAGAGGGAGAGGGAGATGGAGAGGGAGAGGGGGACGACGACAAGGCGAGAGACGTGCCGGTACCGTAGTTTGGTCGTGCAACGCGTGTCGCTTCTTGGCAATCGATCAGGCCGTTTTTGAAGTGTCCACGACAGAGTAGTGCTCCTATGTTATGCTGGTGTGAAGTTACCGTAGTGTGCATACTGTTTTCTGGTATAGTCATTCCGTATGGCGTACATATGTAACCGTTTGCTTGTTTCCCTCCGGGTCTCGGGTGGGATGGAAGCAATCAGTGCCGATGCCAGATGCAATGGAGTATTTTTCCTGCCCCCTTGCCCTTGCCCCCCCAATGTTGCGTGGGGCACAACCAGGAAAAGAGAACCGGGTGAAGTTTGCTTTTGCCCTGTGTCTCTGCTGTGCAATTGTGGCCGTCACTCAGCTTTGTGGTACGTATTTGTGACCGCACCTCATCGCAAACCCTTGAAACCAGCATGTGTTCGCGCACCACGTGTCGATGGTTCTGTTTCGATTTTCGTGTGTGTTTTTTTTTCGACAGGACGCAGGATCGGACATGGACCAAGAGGGCGAGCTGGCCACCGTCGGCGCAGCAGATGCACCCGCAGATGCTCATTTAGCCGCCAATGGAGCGCCGGGTGTCGATGCACATGCAGATGCAGATGCAGATGCAGATGCAGATGCAGATGGCGACCAAGGAAGTAGCAGCACAGACTTGGTCGACAATCAAGTCGACGACGACGTCGGTGGGGAGGGAGTGGACGCGGTTGAACGGGAAGAGGAAGAGGAGGAGATCTACGCTGCTTCGGCAACTGCGTCTCAGCAAAGCCAAGGCGAAGATGAGGCGGAGGGGGAGGAGGAGGCGGGGGAGGAGGAAGAGGAAGCGGAAGAAGAGGAAGAGGAAGAAGACGAGGTGGTCGAGGGGGGTGAAGAGGAGGAAGAGGAGGGGGGTGTAGTTGAAAATGGGGTGGTGGCGTCGGAGGAGCAGGTTTCGGCAGAGGCGAGTGGAGAGCAAGAGGAGCAAGACATTGGTGACGGCGACGACGATGAGGAGGAAGGGGGTACAGAAGAGGAAGAAGAGCAGCAGGAGGAGGAGGAGGAGGAGCAGGAGCCGGAGGAGGAGGGCGAGGAGGAGGGGGGGGCGATGGAGGAAGGAGATGTTGGAGATGTGGCGGGCGGTGTCGGCGGTGAAGTGATGATCGAGATACAAGATTCCTCAGAAGAGGTCAGTACACATGTGTACCGATCCAAGCATGTGCTCCTTCGTGTGTTGGAAGTGTAGGTTGACAGCGGAGTTATGACACCGTTCGTGCTCACCTGTAATGAAGTACTTCGAAGTCGTTTTTTTTCGGGTGGTCTGGCTCTGCCTCTTGACGCTCGACCGTTGTTGATGGATTTTTGTGTTGAGTTTTCAGGATAACACGCTTGAGTGATCGTACGATCTCTGTTTCCTCCCGTAAGTCGTGGTGACGGTGCCGGAAAGCCGCTTGCCTGGGTGACCACGAGATTGAGAGATGGCGCTGTAAGTGGTAGCAGCGCTGTGACAATTACATTGCTATCTTTGTGCGGGCACGTGTTTCATGTGTCGTTTGGTTAGTCTGTTACGTTATAGGCTATTGGTAGTGATAGCGCCGACTATTGGTAGCCCTGTGGGAGGTGCACCCTTCGTTCAACGGCGCTGCTCAACACAAGGAGGCATTGGGCCCAGCGGAGCGGGGTGCTTCCCCTGCGTGGTTGTTCTTAACAAATGCTAGCTTCCGTTGTGCTCGAAAGTATGTACATTCGCAGTATTCGTTCGTCCTGCTTGTACGTTTACCCATCCTGCACTAGGCTATGGCACAGCACAGAAGGCTCCGCTGTGGCCATGTGACCTTCAGCTATCGACTGGCGTCCTCGACCATGAATGTTTCGACCCACAGCAATCGATTATATCACACCCTGCAACACGTGTCTTGAAACACCGGCCTTTTCCGCCTGCAGGACGTTGACCAGGCAGCCAACGCTACGGCGACAGGCAACCAGGACGACGGGCGGCAGGAACGCCACGAAACGGCAGAGATGGCGAACGGGGATAGTTGTGTCCCGCCTCTTGACGCTGCCGCTACCGCCGTGACCCCTACTGTCGGTGTGGGCAGCAACGGAGGAGGTGGGCAAGAGCCTCTGCGTGGAACGCACCCGTCGGATCAAGCACCGGGTTCTGTAGCTGGCGTTGGCGACATATTGGCCAGCGGTTCAGCGGCAGCCGGGGACGGCGAGCAATCAACCGCTGCTGCCCGCGTACAAGACCCGCTCGTCGCCGGCAACGGCGGCGATGGTTTGCCGCCGGACTCTCAGGCTCATGTGCCTTCTTCTGAGGGTGATGCAGGCGCGCTTGTGCCCGGGCTGGCCTCGCCGTCGTCACCTGGTCGGGCAGATGGTGCTAGAGCCACGGGCAGGGGCAGGGCGAAGCAGCTGAACGAGGAGCTCGACGCCGTCCTCGGGAAGCGCAGCTACGGGGAGAAACGTGACTTGGTAGGCTTCTTGGCGGACCCTACCGCGCGGCCGGCTAACCCTCGCGTCCCCGTGCTCCCTGCGGAGCAGAAGAGGCGGGTGCGGCGTGCCTCCCGACCGGTGGAGAGCTGGGACGAGCGGCCGATCTTGGCCATCGACCAGGAGGGCCAGGCCGAGGACCTCGCGGATGAAAGGACGACCAAAAGGGCGGGTGTGTGGTGCGGGGCGACTGGCGACAAGTGGCGGCGGGCTCCTAGCAGCGAGTGGACGAGGCTTGTACCCACCATGCAGCGCAGGGCCGGGCAGCCGGCGGTGCGGGCCGTAGCGTCCACGAAGAGGACCCTAGGCTCGGCCTTCGGGGCTTTCACCGCCCTAGGCACGTCCGCCGCGGCAGTCCACCTCGCCGGTGACCTGAGGAAGCTGAGCGCGAGACCGGGCTACGACGGCGACGAGCTTACCCCGATGCTGCAGCGGCTAGATGAGCAGGACAGGGACGACGCAGCCACCGCTGCCGCCGCACGACGCCGCCCAGCCCCCGACGCCGGTGCGATGGCGTCCGGTTTCACGGGTGCTACTAACCTGTCGCTTGTTCGGGCGGCGGCGGCGGGGACGCCATCCCGCACCCCGAAGCCTGCCAGAGCAGGCGGCGGCTTGGGTGTGGGAGCAGCTCGCGATCGGAGGCAGAGCGTCGGGTCGGCGTTGCGCTACAGATCCCGGGAGTTCACGCCCCGCCGGAGGCCGTCGCTAGCAGTGGCAGGGGAGCAGAGGTACGGCGCAGGTACGCTCGGCGATTGGCTCGGTGAGACACCCAAGCAGCCCCGTCCAGGCCCCGCCGGTGCCGCCGCCGACGGCCGCCGTCGACGCGGCGACGGCGGCGACGCGGATAGCACTGGCCAAGGGCAGGCTTCGAAGCGCCGTGCGGTGAGGAGGCAGGAATCACCGCTCCTGGTGCAGGGCTTGCAAGGCCAAGAGAACGGAACTCCCGCCGCAAGCAACAAGCGCGCAGCGTCCTCTCTCGGCCTCGACGGCATGGACGCGACTCCCCGCAGGAAAACCATGGCTATCATGGAGGAGAGAGCCGTGGCGGAGGAAGGCCGAGAATTGGTGAGGAGGGTAGCGGCGGAAGCGAAGGCTACGGCTGAGGTGGGCAGCATCCTCATGTCGGTGGTGTCGCAGGAGAGCAGGGGTCGAGACGTGACGAGGCAGGTCCGCGAGGAGCAAGGGTTGAGGGAGAGGGAGACCCAGAAGAAGACGGAGCTGAATCAGAGGGCCGGCGGCAATCAGCCGACGACCGGGGAGGCTGGCAAGGTTAGTGTGGTTTGTGTGGCGCATGGGGCCGGAGGCATGGATGTTATGTTTACTAGCCGAGGGCTTCCAACTTCTGACACATTTGACTTTAGTTTGTGGGTCGCTGTGTATGTGCTGTACAGTTTTACGTATTCAGTGCTTGGTTGACAATTTGTTGTTAAAGAGCGACCGGCAGCCGTGTGCTCAGATGTACTTCTACGTTTTTAGTTGCGGTGTTCGTGCCCGCTCTGCCACTCTCCGCGCGTTGGACTACTGTTGGGTGTCTCTGGCTTGCGTGCAGGTCGCCGATGTGCGAGGCAGCCCCGGGCATGAGGAGCGGGAGGAGGAGCGCCGCAAACAAGACGACAAGAGGGGTCGGTCGGAGACGGCATCTTTCACCTTCGCTGCCGCTACCCGGCCCCCTGTTGCCGTGGCTCCTCAAGCCGCCGCGTGGCGAGAGTCGTCGGAGTTCGGGTTCACGACCTCACCGGTGAGTGTTATCGTGTCCTGTCGTCTCGTGTCTACTACGGGCATGTGTGCTGTCTAACTCGTGCCGTGGGCCTTCGAAAGCTCTGTTCAAACGCTGCTTGGATCATTGCTGAGCGATGCTTGATGTGGGGAAACGTTTGGCGGTGAAAGGCTTGCTCGTCAGCAGTGAATGGATGTAGTGAGGACTGCGTTGTTGTTGGCTTTTGGTGGCGTCTTTGGAGGGTTCCAAGAGCACGCCAGCAGGTGTCTCTGCAATATAATCTACGACACAAGAGAAATCACAACCTCTCTGATCTCTGATGTGGCTCTGTCGGAGCTCGATTTTTCGATTTTTCGACACCAGTGAGGCGTGTGACGATTGCCGCACGATACGTCGTCTTTGGAGCGGTTTTGAGGATAACCTTTACCTTAACCATGCCATTGCCACGGTTTTCGGCATTGGTTGTATCATGCTTGGTCTGAAGGTATCGTGCTTTGGGAATCGGTCCAGCGGGTTGTGTGCCGTGTGGTAAGCGGTAGCCACTATGATGGCGAATGTGTCCGTGTGGCGATCCCCGCCGAGGGTACGACCGGACGGCGACCGCGAGATATGCCTGGCCTGCATACCGAGCGTTACTTCTGTGCACCGTAATTGGTACGTTGTAGCGCGGGCTATGTACGTGCCCCATTGTGTGTTTTTCCCCCACTTTGTGGTCGTTGGACTCATACTGCTATACCTAACGCTATGACGTCCTGTCCTCCCTCGCCTCCTTGCCAATCCACGACTCGACTCATCCGGCGAACCTCTCCTGAAAAGAAGGGCCCAGCTCGACTTCGACTGCAGCAGCAGCAGGAAAACGGTGACGCCAACGATGGTTGGGGGGACGGTGCCATGAGCGTCGACAGCCTGTACCCAGACTGCGACGGCGACTTCGCGTTCGGCGCTCCCTCCGCAAGCCACCCTCCCGCCCGCTCGGCGCAGCGGCAGCAGCAGCCTCTGTTCTGCTTCTCGAACCCCCCTCCGGTCAAGCGTGCATTGGAATACGGCCAGGGATCGGAAACGGGGGTGCTGACAACAACTGACGACATGGGAAGGGACATCCCAGCAGGCGCCTTTGAGTTTTCGACGAAGCCTCGCAAGGCGCGCAGGACCCGGAGAGGCGTAGCCGCAGGGAAGAGTGCCGTGGAGCAGCAGATGGCCCCTCTTGCCGTAGCCCCGCTGTCGGTGGCAGGGTCCGGCGACGGCGGCGGCGGCGGCGGCGGCGGCGCCAAGACTTCCGAGCCGGTCGGCGCAATGGCGGCATCCTCGGCGCCCATCACGAACGGGTTCGACATGTCCAAGTTCAAGAAGCCGGGCGAGTGGAAGTGCGGTGCCTGCCTGGTTAGGAACCCCCCGGATGCTACCAAGTGCCTTTCTTGCGAAGTGCCCAAGCCAGGAGCAAGCCCTGCAGCCGCGGGCGGGGGGGGCATCCTGGGCGGTTCATCTGGCGGGGCCTCTTCGACCCCCAAGTTCACCTTCGGCGTCGTGCCGGACGCTGGGGCTGCTGCGGGCGGAGCTCTTGCTTCGCCTCCCGCTCCTGCTTCTTCTCCTGCTGCTGCCCCCCCGGTCGCGTTCGGCGGCGGGGCGGGGAGCACCGCGTCGGCGTCAACGTCAACCGCGCCTACTGCTGGTGGGTTCGACATGTCAAAGTTCAGGAAGCCTGGCGAGTGGAAGTGCGACGCCTGCCTGGTCAGAAACCCTCCCGATGCCACCAAGTGCCTTTCTTGCGAAGTGCCCAAGCCAGGGGCAAGCGGCGGTGCATCGCCGCCGGCTGCGGGGGGAGGAGGGATTCTCGGCGGCGCCGGCGCTTCGACCTCCGCGCACAATTTCTCCTTCGGAGTGCAGCCAGCCAAAGCGGCAGCGGCGGCGACAGCGACAGCGGCGGCTAGCACTGCTCCGAGCGCACCCGGGTTTTCCTTTGGCGCGGCGAAGGCTTCGACGTCTTCCGCTGCAGCGCCTGTGGGGAAGAAGGCCGCTTTCACCTTTGGTGCGCAGCCTGCTGCGCCCGGGGGTGATAATGTCGGCGGCGGCGGCGGTGCGACACCGGCGTCGGCGTCGGCTAGTGGGGGAGTGGGACTCCTGGGCTCCCTAGGTGGTACCTCCTCGGCACCCTCTGGCGCCTTTACATTCCGCGGCGCCCCTTCTGCCAGCGCTAGCACCACCGCCGCCGCCGCCCCACCTTCCAGCGGCATGTTCGGCATGCCTTCCGCTTCGCCACAACCGCAGTCGTTTGGATTCGGCGGAGGCTCTTTCGCTGCTGCTTCTGCTGCTTCTGCTGCTGCAGCTGCTTCTCCACCTGCTCCTGCTGCTAGCGCGCCCACGTTCGGGTTTAAGATGCCGACCAGTTCTAGCAGCGGCACCTCGGCCACTGGCAGTGCCGCCCCGGTATTCAGCTTCGGTTCAGGATCCCTGCCAGCTCCGGCGGGCAACAGTGACAGCAATGCTGCGCCGACGTTCAGCTTCGGTTCAGGATCTCTTCCTGCTCCCGCTGGCAACAGCGACAGCAGCAGTGCCGCGCCCGGGTCTTCTTCGTTGTTCACGTTTGGGGCGGGAGGCGGTGCTGCTGGTTCATCATCGTCCTCGGGTGCTGCACCGAGATTCACCTTCGGGCAAAACCCGGCCCCGCCCAAGTAGAGCAAGCTTGAGAGCTGTTGGTTCCGCAAGCTTTTCACCAATGTTGGGCGGTTTTCTTGCCTCATGGAGCTCACCCAATTAGAGCAGCAGCAGCAGCAGCAGCAGCAGCGGCAGCGGGTTGCTCGCATCAAATGAGGTCTTCCTCAAAGGTGGGGGGAGAGCTCGCTGTGGTCCCTACCGACAGGCAGCGTTTTCCGAGTTGGACTCTTTTAGATGTTGATTTGGCGGGTAGTTTGGTTGTGTGGAGTATGCATGTGATGTGGGGTTTGTCGCGTGCGCGACGTCTCAACCCAAACCAACACCAACACCACCGTCCACCAGTGTACCGACCGACTGACGATACTATACTCAAGCACGTGTACGATGTAGGGGACAGACATGTGGCGGCCAGATGAAGCTCAAGGGGAGGAAGGAAGAGAGACCGTGCCAACAAGCTCTGCTGTTATTTTTGTCTAGAGGGGGGTGGAGGATAACCTACAGCAGAGAATTCGGCGGGGGGCGTTTTTTCGTGATTTCAGCACATGGGTGATGATGTCGCTGTGTAGAGTACAATGTAGAACTTTTTTTTTTTGTGGTTGGGCCTGTTTCGTCCACAGACGAACAGCGAGTCAGCTCATGCATGGCACGATCAGGCTTTCTGTGATGCACCTTTTGTTTTCGACGCAGGTGGTGGGTGGTTTGGGTTGTCTCTGTCATGTGTGGCGATGGCTGATTCAGTGACAGCTTCTGTTTCTTGTTGGTGCATGTTGTCTTCTTTTTGTCATCAATTGTGTCGGACAGAGATTCTGGAAGTCAATCATGGACGCAGTGGCTTACGATCCAACTCGCTGTCGGGACAAGTGTGACTGCTGTAGTGGTTGGAGACAGGAGGAAGAGGTCGAATTGTGAGGGGTAAGGGTGAGCCAATCGATAGCTTAGCTTCTCATCTCTGCATGTGGTTTGGTGCCTCATGCGGACAGCACAGAGGTAGTCCAGGGAGGGAGGGAGGGAGGGAGGAAGAATAAGGAAGGGTGTTTCTGTGCACTACGATACACAGCAGTGGTATTGTGTTTTGACTTTCCTCTTTCGAACGGCTTGGCTGTAGGCTGGTGATGAGGAAATGTAGGATTCATTGTTCGAAAGATGACCGTGTGAAAGAAGAATGCGCATGCGTGCTTGTTCCTCTGTTTCTCGACCAATCTATGGCCCGGGCGCCTGCCTGATCATGAGCTTCCGATCATGATCAACAGGCGCCACAAATCAGCCTCAGCCTGACTGATTGGAGGCGAGGCCAAGGTCACTTTTGTAGTTCGTGCTGAGCTCTACGCTCGACACGTCGTCCGTTCTGGTTACATTTCAGCCTCGCTCTGTTCAACTCTGCCGACTCTCTAACGATCGGTCTGACAGTCGTGTGCACCTTGTTGAAGAACAAATGTCCTCCAGAAGAGTGCGGTCAGAAACATGCCGTCGGTCTAAGGGAGGAGTAGTCATGTTTCTCTCAGATGTATTGTACCCATTTCCCACCACGCTCATCATCTTGGGCAGGCCAATTCGAGCCGCGCTGGGTACAGTCTCGCCAGCCACAAGCAGGCACATGGAGATACAATTTTCAGGGTTTTGCAATCCGGTACACACCTATGCACATTCTGTATTTCACGAGGGAGATGGTTCGTCAAAACAAAAGTGTCCACGGCACGTTTGATACCACATACCGCATCGGCTACAGTCGTGGTCCCGGTCAAGCGGTCCATATCCGCTATTTAGGACATCGCCGCTGAACCGGATTGGCAGTTGCATGGAAGAGAGAGAGAAAAGGTGCCCGCTGTTTTCTGATTGGCCAATTTTTTATACAACTTGTAGGAAAGTTCCTGTGTGCAGAAAATTCCCTGATCGACCGATGACGTCAGCCACGGTCATGTCGTCACCTCTTGAAAAAAATGAAGTAAATCAAATTCGCCGTGGACCACTGATTGGACTGATGATGACGCCAGACTTTCACGGGAATCGCTGACCACACGGACGGATACAGCCAGTCATTCGTTCCCTGGACGAACGCAATTACTCCTGGCTGCTACGATCCACCCTACGCTGGGTGGTGTTTTTGTCGCACCCACACGACGACACCCACACGACGACTGACGGTCTTCGGAAAAAAAAAAGAGAGGCACACGGCAGGGACAAATCTCGACGGGAAACATTCGCCGCAAGAAACACTGACACACGCTCACAACTACACCCCCCCTCGCATGAAAAGAGGTATTTTCTACATTGTCACCCGGGTTGCAAGGGGCTCCGTACACCCCATTTTTCTTTTTTTTGTTCTCGACCAATGACTCACGGAACCCCTCGCAGCTGGCCTTCACCATAGCGACCAACCGAAGTTTCTCAATAGCTCCGGCTGTAGTTGCGATCCAAAATTAGGGCAGCCCTCTATAGAATCGTCGTGGACACCTCTAAAGTATAGTGGCGTTGAAAAGGTGAAAGGGATCGCACCCGCGACGGACCTCGGAGCGTAAAGTCCGCCAGAGGGGTGGTATCTTCCGTAGAATCTTGCCTACCTGTCCTGCGTCTCCCTGCAACGAGAGAGGGATTAGGGCTGCGTGGAGAGATCTCTGAGGCGAAACGGAGGAAGGCACTGCCGTGCACAACCCACCCAAGGTATGAGCACTTCATGGATCAGAAACATGGGCGAAAATCACTGATAATCGGGCGAATCCAGAGACAAGATCATGTGCGGCACGAACCACCCGGGTGCAGCGGCAGCTATAGCTCAGCAGCAGCTATAGCTGCTTCGTGCAGGCTAAGCCGCCCTTTTGCCTGCACCCGAAGGCAATGGTCCTGTACGGTTACCAACCGCGACGCGTGATGAATGCCGACTCATGATAGGATTGATATTGCTAGATTTAGGGGCGGGCGACAAGATTCAATCTT